CAGTGTAAGGAGTTGGATAATAAAGCTTGTGCTAGAGAGGACTATACATTATATCGTGCTATGCTTAAGACAATACGTAAAACAGAGGAAAACTATCAAGACGACTCCCACATTATCTTTATTATACAAGCAATGGATAAAGGGGAATATAAGGGAGTTATAGGGATAGATTATAGAAGTAATGGGTACATGAATTTAAAGGATGGGTAAATTATACAGGTAATGAGGGACACAAAAGATAATGCAGAATTGTATATACATACATTAATTGTATCTTTAGTAAAACCTTTATTTACTTGTACATACTTTCTCATTTCATGTCAACATGCTTTGTACATGTACCTTACATTTATTTCTCTTTCTTCATAGGAGAGTGATCTACGTTATTTGATAGAGAACATATGGGCTGGTCAGAGTGCTGTGAGTGGTGAGAAGGATCTATTTGAGTTGATACTAGTTCGTTGGAATATCACTGAACACTGGAGCCCATGGAACTGTATATTATTGACAACTGATGAAGCTAGGGCTCATGTTAAACTGGATAACCCTGAAAAGGTAAGATAATATTACTATTATAATGTTCTTGTTATCCGCTTTCATGTTACTGCTTTATCAGTTTTGCTTTTTCACTTGTCAATATATGTTATTTTAAAAGCACATTAATGTACTTTACTTATAATTGCATTTTACATGTAATATTATTCCTCCACAGGCTTACAGTTCACAGTTTACAGATAAGATAAGACAAAGGCACATATTAGCAAGGAATTATTTCACACAGATACCAGGAATGATGGAGGAAATGTCAACTAAAGTCAAAGAACTACCTCTACCTCGTCCTAAAGAAAGAATCATTGTAGTTAGGCAACATCCACAGGAACAACAACAGCAACAATTAGCAGTAGACTCTAACTGAGATATGCATACATATACATCTACAATGTATAAACAATAATGTTTTTTTTCTTTAATGTGAGATGTGGGATGTTGTGATCAATAATTATTGTACATGTTATGTTGTGCATAAATAGTACATACATGTACATGTATGGTATAGGTACAATTATGCTGTACTTGTACATGAAACTATCCAAATTAAATTATCTGTATAGCAGACTGCCTTTATAAATGATGTGTGTGACTTAGTGATTAGTTGTGAGAGCAGGAGCAACTGAGCAAGTGTAGAATGTACCTAGTGCTGCTTACTATTGTCTTCTTGTTGAGTGTCAGTGAAGTTATTAGTCAATGTCCACTTTCCTCAGGTAAGACACTGGATGTGTATAATAACAACTGTATAGGTTTTTATAGGTATCTACCTGAGACATGGTGGAAACTGTTATACTAATGGATCATTTTTTTGGGATAGTAGTGTCAATGAAGTTACTGAAGCTATATCATGTGTGTTACCTGGTACTAATCTAACTACTGGTCAGTGGGTTAGAGTTGCTAATTCTGATGATCCTGTTGACTGTAACAGTAATAGTGCCAGTGATCCTTTTCAATGTACTTCTCTCGCTTTACCTAATGCTACTCTCAATCTTTATCTTGCTCAGGGACTAACAGCAACTACAGAAGGCTGGTACAAGTGTTGTCTACCCACTGATTGTTCAGATTCTAACACTAGCATCATCTTTGCTAATATATTCAGTAAGTGTTTTCATTGTGCTAGTGCACATTGTTCTTTTACTGTAGGATGGGGAGAGATTGCAGATATTACAGTTAATTTTCCTTCAAATATAACAGTTTTACCTCAAAGTTACACACTACATGGTATTACAATTGGTGATCCAAATCAAGGCCTCTTAAATGAAGATACTTGGTACTATGAGTCTGGTAGTGCTAGTACTGAAATAACTGCTGATCTCTGCACTGGACAGTCTGGATACAGTTGTACTATTGGTAATGGAGTATTATTACACAGCAGTAATGGATCATACGTTTATACTCTAACTGTTACTTGGAATGGAGAGACTATAACCAGTGGAATGCTGAGTCAATCAAACAACAATGGAGATCATGTATTTAGATTCTATTTACATTTTGGTGATGCCATGAGAAATCAATACATTACAATAACTGGTAAGTTTTTAAATGTTTACAGACATTACATTACTCTTTATTATCACAGCCCCAGCAGCTGCTCCCCACTCTCTTACTGTGGTCGGCAAGACAGCTACCACTATCACTGTCAGTTGGACTGCACTTGATTCATCTGATGCTGATGGATATGTAGTCAACGTCACTAGTGACACAGACACTGTGCAGACAGTACAGGTGGAGGGAAGTAGTAATAATGCAATCACACTGAATGGACTGAATATAAAAACAACTTATAGCATCACAGTCAGAGCCTATCGACGGTTACTGGGACCTGCTAATGTCTTCACTCATTGCCAGCAAAATAATGAAAGTATTTTGATTTTTTAAAGTGACAACGTTAAATTACATGTGTTCATGTATGTAGGTATCTACTTAGCAAATAATGGAAACTGTTATCCTAATGGATCATATTTTTGGGACAGTAGGGCCAATTCAGATACTGAAGCTATATCATGTGTGTTACCTGGTACTAGTCTAACTACTGGTCAGTGGGTTAGAGTTGCTGATCCTGATGATCCTGTTGACTGTAACAATAATAGTGCCAGTGATCCTTTTCGTTGTACTAATGTCATTTCACCTGCTGCTCTCAATTTTTATCTTGCTCAGGGACTAACAACAACTACAGAAGGCTGGTACAAGTGTTGTCTACCCACTAATTGTTCAGATCCTAACACTAACATCATCTTTGCTAATATATTCAGTAAGAGGAGACTACATGTATAATCACTTACTGATGTAATTTTCATTTGTAGGATTTGCAGAGATAGAATCATTTACTGTTGCTGATCTTCCTTCTGATATGACAGAATATCCTCAGGAATACAAACTGAATTGTACTAAAATTGGATATTATCAATATGGTATTAGAGTAAACATTGGTAGTACTGCAATGGCTAATCACACTAATTGTGATGACAGATATAATTCTGATAATTGTCCTGGTACTGTGTTAGTTAGTAGTACCTACACAGTAAGATATACAGTTACTATCACATGGGATGGAATGAATGTGAGTAGTGGACCAATCAGTCAATCAACCACTGGAGATCAAGTGTATCAGTGCAGGGTAGCAGATCATCCTGATAGTAATGCAATTAGAATACGTAATGTAACTATAAAAGGTAACATACTTCAATGAATGCTAATAATTTTGCTACCAAAAATGTTTAGTACCAAAAACTGCTCCCTCTTCTCTTACTAAGGTCAGCAAGACAGCTACCACTGTCACTGTCAGTTGGACTGCACTTGATTCATCTGATGCTGATGGATATGTAGTCAATGTCACTAGTGACACAGATACTGTGCAGACAGTACAGGTGGACGGAAGTAGTAATAATACAATCACACTGAATGGACTGAATATAGAAACAACTTATAGCATCACAGTCAGAGCCTATCAACAATTACTGGGACCTGCTAGTAGTAAAATCAGTGTGCATACTTCAGGTATTGCTACTGCACCTTTTAATGTACTTGTAACATTGTTAATGTATTTCTAGTTATTAATTCAATCAATTGGACACTAGTCTCATCCATTACACAACTCAATAACACTCAATATCGTATTGATTGTCTCTTAACTACTGATATAAATCCTTTAACTGATGTTTACTGGTTAGTGAATGGAGTGATGAAGAATAGCTCATCAATTGATGTCCTGACATACAACAACACAATACTGGTATATCCTGATCCACTGGGAGTGTCAGTTAATGTTACCTGCGTAGCAATGATTGGAGGAGTCAACTACAATCAATCTGTGATATTACATGGTATGATTATACTTTAATCAATAGTAGATACCTTTGTCTCTTTCCTAGCTCCTAGTTGTCCTCCAAATAATGTGAGAGGGATTATATTAAATGCCCACTAGTATCAAAGTAAACTGGACCACTTCATCAGAGACTAATGGATATGTGATTGAGTATACTACTGGAGGTG